CAGTGCCCACAGTTAACAAAAGGTAAATCTACCTCCCATGAACACAGCTATTGCAGCGAGTGAGGCGTAGGACACTGTGTGCTCTGCCGTCTGCGTCTCAGGGTTCTTCCATCAGTTTGGCCATGCTCTCTTTTCACAGGGCAGGTTGCTACGTTTCCCTTGTTTGTGTCTCAGTTTTTTCTTTTCTTGGCCTCCACGGCAGCCTGAATGAGAAATAATCTCCCATAAATTCATGTATTTGAACACTTAGCCTCCAGTTGGTGGCACTTTTTGGGGAAGGGTGATAGGTCTTTTAGACCTTAAAGCCTTGATGGAGGGAGTACTCAAAGCTGGAGTGGGCTTTGAGAGTTTGTAGCCTTGCTCTGCTTCCAGTTTGCTCTGTTCAGTTTCTGTGTAACAAAATGTGACCCTCCAACTTCCTGATTTGACCAGCCGTAGACACGCCTTCTTTGCCATTGTGAACTCCTCTCTGCAACCCTATGCTAGAGCGAACTCTTTCTTCCCTAACTTGATTTTGGTCACGATGTCTTATTGCTCTAACAGAAAAACAACTAATGCAATACCCTTTCAAGAGTTAACTCTCACTTCTTTTTTTATTTACTACATCATCATCATCATCATCATCATCATCATCATCATCATGATGTATGTGTTTGTGTGCACACACACATGCAGCAACACCTATAGAGGTCAGAGGACATCTCTGTGGGGTCAGTTCTCTCCTTCCAGCGTTTTAGAGATTCCAGGAATGGACCTCAGGTCCTTGGGCTTGTTTGATAAGTGTCTTTACCCACTGAGTCCTCTTCTTTGCACGCTTTTCATTTCTGTCCCTTCCTTCCTTCCTTCCCTCCCTCCCTCCCTCCCTCCCTCCCTCCCTCCCTCCCTCCCCCCCCCTCCCTCCCTTCCTTCCTCTCTCTTTCTTTCCCTTCCGCCCTTCCTCCCTCCCTCTTCTCTCTCTTTTCTCTCTCTCTCTCTTTCATGTTTGTCTGTGTGTGTGCAGTGTCATAGTAACTGTGGGAGGTAAGAGGACAACTAAGGGAAGCCAGTTCTCTGCTGCCACTGTTCCACGTTCAATCTCCTGAGGATTGAACGTGACAGAGCGCAGGTTGTTAGGCTTGGCAGCCAGTACCTTTACACACAGGACCATCTCCCTGACCCAAATTTGGCTTATTTTGTTTAACATAACGATTCCCATTTGCATCTGTTTACCTATAGGAGTCATGATTTCATTTTTCTTCTTTATGGATTCAGTAAATTCCATTGCACATCCATCTGTTGATAAACGCCTAGGCTGTCTCTGTTTGCAGGGTGCCGTGAATGGTGTACAGAAATGGACAGGGAAGGTGGAGCATCCCTGTGCTCTATTGATTTAGAGTCCCTTTAGTCATACAGCTAGGATTGGTAAGCCGGATCATATAATAGTTCTATTTTTACTATTTTTTTGAGAAACTTTCATATTGATCTCCGTGGGGCGCACATTTACATTCTCGCCAGCAGCTAAGTGAGATTCCTCTTGCCCTGGACCTTCACTGGCATTTGTTGTAATTTTGTTGTTTTGGTGACAGGTAATCTGACCGGAAGCCTCACTGGAGTTACAAGAAGTTGTGAGCTGTTATATAGGTGCTGGGAATCAAATGCAGGTCCCCTGCAAGAACTGCCAGCATTTATAATGGCTGAACCCTTAGTCTCAATTTAAAATAACTTCATTTTGTTTATAGTGCTTTGGTGGATCTCATTGCACAAATACTTATTCTTTAGTGGCTGCAGTAGGCATTACACTGTATGTACATAACTGCAATGGGTTGGTGTCCACTGGTGTGGCAGCCCATGAAGGGTTGGCAAGCAAAAAAATGAATACAGCCTTTGGGAGAGAGTAGGAAGAATGATTTTTGTATACATTGCAAGAGGGCCTTAATAGAGGACTAGCTGCAGCCTGGAGATGGAGCTTTTAAAGAGGCAAATTCACTATAATAATGTCCCTGCTTGGGGGCTGTATCACTAAGACTGGTGTTTTATCTGGGGGAGACATTAGGATGCAGATTCATAGATAGAAGATGATGGTGGGAAGACATAGCATCAAGAGAGCCATCTCCACATCGAGGAAGGCACCCCGGGAAGATTAGGAGCAAGAGGGCCATCTGCACACCAAGGAATGAGCCCTGGGAAGACACCACTTTACCAGCACCGGGATCTTGTATTCATGGCCTTCAACTCTGAGAGGAAACAAGCTTTTGCATCTCATGCCCTAAAGCATGATTAATGAAAACCCAGAGAGAGGTATTGGGGTTCAACCTGAAGGTCAGAAAAGCAAAACAGCCAGCCACTGGCTCTTACCTCTGCCTCGGTCTGAAATGGCGATCCTGCCTCTAGGAATCTCAGAATGAGACTGTGAGTGAGAGCTGTAGCCTCCATTCTTAGATTCCTCTCTAGAAGTGGGATTAAAGGCATGCACGACTACCTCCCAGGTTTACGGTGAGCTAGCATGGCTACTGGGATTAAAGGTGTATATTGCCACTGCCTGGTCTGGAAGGCTGCCCAGTGGGGCTGTTTTACTCTCTGATCTTTAGGGAAGTTGTATTTATTAAGATACAAATGAAGCATCACTACCATGCCCCTCACTGTTGGTCTGTTGCTACGGCAGCTCTCATAACTCCGTACAGAAATTCTGTAAGCTGAGTGGTTCGGTCCTTTGCTTTAAGCAACACTGAAATCTGTTTGAATCGTGTGCATGCTGACCATTGGAAGTACCAAGCATCTGAAAGTACTCCAAAGACTGGATAGTATTTAGGAAGTCTCCCCCATGGCCATCTTGTTGATGGGAAGAGAGTCCCTGGAAGCGTTCAGCTATGGAAACAAAACATAGATAGTGAAGCCTAGCCTTGAACCCATAGCGGAAACCAGTGTTTGTTTACAGCTAATGAAATGGGTGTCTCAACAAGAAGTAACCCAGCACTTCCACATGAATAATCTCTATAAAACTGCAAAGCACATTTAAAGTCTTTGATGACTGTGCACTATTTATTATTCATAAGTGAACGCAACCAAAACTTGTCTTTGTAAATGCTACTGGACCCATTTTAAATGCAAATTATAATTTTAGAATTTTTTTCCCCTTTGAGAAAAACACTAAGAAAAACCTTCAAATTTAAAACTATTATGTTGAGGCAAAATTCAGTAAAAAAAAAAAAAAATAAAGGCGGGGAAGACACAGGAACAGAGAAAAAGCAACACTGGAAATAATCCTTCTGTGGAAGGGCCCACTTTAGTGTTTTCTGAATAGATTCTGGTGTCATATTACTGCACCGCTGACATCCCATTGGAGACACCTAGCAGAATGATGTAATGGTTTTATTTAAAATGCCAGTATTTACAGTGACCTAGAGCTTGCGTCATTTCCAACTTTTAAAACTAAGGGTGAAGAACTGGGATGGCAATTAGAGAACACGACAGAGGCCACAATAACGTGATTTCTATATATATATAATAAGCAAAATGGCTCAAAGAACACTGGTAATGAAATATGGGCTGGCTGGTTCATAAAACACACTAATCATCGACATTCCATGACAATGCTCGATGACTATGGTGCAGTTCCCATGGGGCGAAGGGCTTTGACTTCATCAAGTTATGAACTTGCCAATTGTTAGCTAAGATGCATAAGCATTCAATGGTTTCTCATTAATGCTTTTAACTTGCATCTCTCTGGTTAAATTAGTTAAATTAAGTATCTTTTTATGCATTTGCTGATCATATGAGTTCCTTTTTAGATAAAAGAGCCTGTTCAAGCTCTTGTCCACTCATTTTTCTCTAGGTCATTTGAATTTTTCTTATTAGCTTTAAAGAACTTTCAGGAAAACCTCCTGTGGCTCTGTAACCAGTGGCTGGGTGTGAGCAGTGGCCCAGGACTCTTCATGACACTGTTATGCTCCTCCTTCTTCATTTGTCACATGTACCCCCTTTCCTTCCTATCTGCTGCCAACCTGTACTGGGCTGCAATATTATTGTCATCATTTGTTCAAGTCTATGTCATCAAGGAGTGCATATTATTATATACATTCACAAATATGCATAGACCAGCCCTCTCTGATTTAATCTCCTAAATAAAAAAAAATCATGCTACTTTGTGCATGTTGGGGGTATGAGCATATCATGGCACTTGTACAGAGGTCAGAGGACAGCGTGCAGGAGTGGAGTTCTCCTTCTACCCGCTGGGTCTAAGAGACCAGATTTCAGCAGTCAGGCTCGGTGACATGCAGCAGCTTTACCCGCGGTACCATCTCACTGGCCCGTAGACAGGCTTTAAGATCAGAAAGGAGCCCCGCTAGGAATGCATCACAAACACTGACATTGTCTCCTTGTTCTTCCTATCTAACCAGAAACTATAATCAGCGTTTGCTTTTGGAGCCCAGCCCCATGTCCGTGAGTAGTAGGGTATTTGTTTGGTGTGCTTGAAGCTGTGGTTTCCATCTGAAGCATAAACAAAGAATACAGTTTCTGATCTATTTTCAAAGCAGATATTCCTGACTCTGTCTATATAGTGTTCAGTGTGTGTAATAGTGTATCTTTCAGATGTTGGAGGATAGTTACTGGAATTCTGAGATAATGAACCTTAATTTGAAGAGACAAAAAAGGCATATGAAAAAATTTAAATTATGATTGAAGGAAAAATCAGAGGAGTTGTCATTTAAAAATAATTTATTAGCAAAAATGAATCTGTACATAATGTCTTCACATAATGAGTTTTGGGATTTGTTTGCCAATGATGCTCAGATCATTTAATGTCTTCCTATTGAAAATATGAGAAAGTTGGAAATTTATGAATCAAATCACTCTTTACTGATATGTAAGTATACAAAATAAGTGTAATTGGAATGATATAACTGAGGGTGCAAAATAGCTTTGTTAAAAAGGAATAATTCATTATCTTCCTTTAAATCCTGTCAAATCTATTGTAGGGAGACCATGACACAAACGCAGAAAAAACCAAGAGGGTAAGAGAATTAAAAACGTATAATGTTTTATTGTAAAAAATAGGCAGACTTAATTTTGTTTTAACAGGAATATCATTGTAAGAGCCTCTTTGAGCCATCATTGTTTTGTAATTGAAATGGGCAAGAGAGCCAGTAACAGCTGCTAGTGGGAAAAGGATCTATGTCAGTGCCTGTGAAGCCTCAGCATCCTCCTGGGTGATGTCTCCAAGCAGCTACAGAAGCACAGTGGCCTTCAGAACCCTGGACATCCACAAGCCTACAAAACAGCAGGGATTTGCCGACAGGCCCAGTCCTGTGGAGACTTTGTGGTGTCTGTCCCAGCATCCAAAGTGTACAGTTTGTTAGAACACATGCTCACTGGAGCAGTGATGTCTCAGGCCCCCTGCAAGACCAGTAACTGCATCAGGCTTGTTTGTGTAAGGCCAGGTTGAGGACATCTGTCCCAGTCATGCTGGCGCTGATGTTTATGAACTCGTACTAGAGGCTGGGGCAGGAGACCTGAATATACCTCTTTCCATGACCCAAGGATGATAAGACCCTGCTGGATAGAGCAGAACAATGTGGAGGGTAAATTACCTCATGGCCATAAAAACAGAAACTCATAAGGCAAAAGCCAACCGAATGAAGCATTTATTGTTTCCTAGGAGCGGGCATGTAAGGTGGGCTGAGGCTGGGTGTGTGCGGTGGTTGTCTTAAGTTATTACAGGATTTTCGTATCTTTAGCAGCAGCAACATCTCAAAGTCAAATCGGGTTCTGCAAATATAAAACACATCGACAATTAAGAAGTGCGAAGTTAGTGAAAGGTGGTCCGGTTCCCAGAAGATGCCGGAGATGAGCCACCGCGATGGGGTGAGATGCTTCGCTAGGGACAGAGCATCTTAATGGCATAAAGCAGCAATGTTATCAAGTGGACGCGACCCAGGGCGGGATCTGAGCTTCCCCTTCTCCGTCTTCATAGGTGGGAAATCACTGTTTGCTCAGCCACATCAACGACATGCCTACAAGGCCTGTGCGCCATTTCTCTTGCTCTAGCTAAAGAAGGTATGACAACATTCAACAGCTGAGAACTAGGAAAACTGAGCTGACGTGATCCTCCAAAGGCATTGGAAGTAGTGCCGTAATCATTAAAATACCATGGAAACCGTTTGTCTCTTGGGCACGGGTGTGGGGAGAACAGCAAGCAGGGAGGCCGTGATCTTGTTACTGTGATATTTATTCACTCTTAGGTAAGGTGACATTTTAATTAAGCCCGTCGATTTAACTGTACCCTCTTGTGTAAGACCTCTTCAAATTCGAGTAGGAAGCTGGTGGTTTGGATCTCTGGATATTTTGATGGGCTGGACATCATCTGGTAAGATCCTGTCATTGAGAAGATCACTCTGAGAGGAGAGAGAGAGAGAGAGAGAGAGAGAGAGAGAGAGAGAGAGAGAGAGAGAGCAACAACAACAAGCCCTAGGCAAATGAAAGCCGAATTAGGTCAAGTGTGTCTTTTTGTTCTGTTACCCAGACTAACTGTTAAATTCGAGACCGAATATTAAATTGCAGTGCCTTGCTTCTTTTTCTTCCTTATTCCATCCCATTCTATACGGACACTTATGTGGACAATTTGCTCTCTTGGATTATGTCTTAAAAGCCAAAAAAAAAAAAAAATCAGCCTTTGAAGTAGGGTTGCTATGGGCTAGAGACACAGAAGGAAGATGGCCTAGATCTGGGAGTTCTTGGTGAGGGCAGGCAGGCAAACCACAAATGACTGACTGAATAGCTTTAGAGGTTTATTATCCACTCATTAGGAACCTTTAATTGCTTTTCCTCCTTAGCACTCTTCAATGACCGTCGTTCCAATCAGAGAGTACAGTTTTTTCTTAACGAGCCGAAATCCCGAGCTTAGGATCAGAGTTCGCCTAAGGCCCGGCGAGAAGCGACCTCTGCTGAAGAAGAAGTCCCTGAGGCTGGTCCACGAGCAGTTCTCCTGCTTGAACACGAGTGTCAGCTCGAAGGTGGGCACCACGCTAGCATCACACACGATCCGATCGAGCTTTTTACACACATTTTCAATTTCCAAGTTCACGTGCATCACACAACCCCGAAGGCCGCAGGGCTCCGTGGAGGAGAGCCGCAGGACATCTTGAGCAATTCTCTGGGTCAGTTTCTCAGGGACCAAGACCTTGGAGCAGCCCAGTTTGGTTTGCTTCGATTTGGATAAACAGTTTTCCAACATCTTAACCAAATTCTGGCACGTGGTCTCTTCAAATACCACCTCGTTGAGGTTGGGCTCAGGGACAACATAATCCCAGTAGTCGAAATCTGAAAGAAAGGAGTGTTTTAGAGACGAGAGAAACAATGTCTTCCTGGCACAGGAAAGCCTGGCACCACGAGCTTCTACATCTAACTGCTTTAGATACAGCTTTGAGAGTTAGCATGCCTCACTTTGCCGTTAACCCATAGGCAGTGAAATAAGTCATTTAACCTTGCAAGTATGAAAGCTTATCTGTGCACTCAAGACTTGATGAATACGGTGCTAGGTGCAAACAATTTCTTTAGATTGCTATGTCTCCTCAGAGTCTCGAGGATTATGCAGCAAAAACCTATCCATGGTCATCCGAGATTACTAGTTATTTTTTTTCTTGCTCTCTCTGTAGGGTTTTCCAAGTTTATTTTAGTGTTTTTGCAGCGAACAAGCAGAACATCTGGAATAAAAATCATTACTTTTGCTTCACAAAGGGACCATTGGTGTGTCTGTATTAAAACACAGAATGATTGCAAGCGCTTGTAAATAAGTCCATCACAGTACCGATGAGCTACCCAACTCTTTATTTTTCTTTAAAAGTCTATGCTAGAATGGACTGGAGGTCCAATTTTAGCCTCGAGCTGTTTGATTAAAGATTGCTCACAGAGGAGGGGACCTTTGAGGTTCATGAGGTTATTTATAACTGGGCAGGGTAGGTTTTTCTTAGCTGTGCAAAACAAAACAGACCCAGGAAAACAAAGTTGGGTTTGCTCAGAGGAAAATAGATAGCTCTGCATTTGGCCACCTACCTTCCAAATTAATCCTACCACCTGGCAGGGTGCCACACCACACAGTGGCCTCAGACCTCCATCACCTCTCCCTGCTTCCCACTTAACGCGTTCACTTAGGTCGCTGCTCGTTTTTATTTAACTAACATACTACAAATCATATCTGTAGTTTACCTATATTTTAGCTACACTGAAGACAGACAATTTTAGAGTTTTGTCCTATAGGATTATCTTAATTTTATCTTACAAATGAGGAAGATGTACAGAGCTTAAGTGGTTTAATCTGTGCCCACACCATCTTTGATAGTAGAGTGGTCTGTTAAATTAGAAACTGCTATTCTGAGTTGCAGAGGATGATTCACGTGGGGTCAGGGCTACTGAACTGTTCTTATGACATTCGGAATAGAATAGCGGATTCATTTCACAACGGAATCTTACTTAGTTATGGAAAGTAACACATTAATAGGGAAGGATCTAGCTCCAAAATATTAAGTTGTGGAAGAGCAAACCCAACTCAGAAGAACACACATTGCATTATCATCTAACACTCTAAAAGCAAAACTAACATAGTAACAAAACATTGAAGGATGGTTCTCTGGGGAGGCGAAAGAGAGGGAATAAATGGCAAACGGGCAGAGAGGAATTTGGGAGGAATATGTAGAGGTGCTGGTTACACAAGTAAATGCATGTCTTAAAACACACCCAGCTAAATAATGTCCCAACCAGGAGGGATAGGGAACTTCATCCTCAAGAGCCTGTTAGCAGACTAGAACAACGCAGTATTCTCGTTATGTTTGTTTCTGGTTGGCAGACAATGCTAAGGAAGTTTAGAAAGACATCTCAGATGGATTCCATAGTCGTCTTCTCTGTCTAGGAGGGAATGAGGTCTCCTGCGCTCAGGCAGGGACGCTTACGCTATCTAGAGAGGGGCCGCGACCTTCGGATAGGAGAGAGGTGGGCAGCCGGGCGACTCACCACTTAGCAGACTCCCAGGGTGATAGCCACCGTCCAGCAACTCTGAAATGCTGGCCGGGTTCTTACTGCTCAAACTGCCCGTTGCAACCATGGTCAACGGCTCTGTTTCCCTCGCGGAGCAGAACGGTTTTCCCCAAGGCGCTGTAGGGAAAAAGCGAGAGAAGTTTGCAAAAGCACGCAAGAAATGCAAAGGCTCCTCTGAGTCCCGGCATCGCCAGAGAAAACTAGCCCGGGCACTGCCCTTCCAGAGGGAGGGACCAGCCTTGGTAGCTCAAGTTGACAAAGCCCAGGGAGCAGAGACGCCAACTACAGCCAACCAGTTGAAAGTAGCTCGAAAGTTAGCACAACTGGGAAGTGACCCTGCCCACTCCCGCCTCCGACGGCCGCTCACCTGCAGGGATTTCACCGGACGGTGAGGGGGTAAACTGAGGCAGATGTCCCTCAGTAGCCCGATCCTTGGACAGTGGTCCCCGGCACACGTCCCGCTGCGAGCCAAAGGCTGCGGGTCACCGCGCCCACCCGCACAGGCTGCGCCCTGCCGCTCCGCCTCCGGAACACAGAGTGCTTTATAGGTCCTGCCTCCCTGCCTGGCCGGCACGCCCACCTGCGCCACCCGCCCGGCCCGTGCCCCGGCCCGCCCCAGCCGGGTCAGGTCGCAGGCTTTTCAGTCCCAGTGAAGACAAGGGCCCAGACCAGCCTCTGGGAATTGAGGATCAGCCACCACTCGGGCGGACACCTGCTGCTTCCTGGGTAGGCCACTGGTCGCCCTGACTGTAATTCACCTAAGGACCACCTACCTCCCTTTGGCCACTAACCTGGATTCTTTGATGTTTGCTCCTGCCCCTGGCTTGCGTTCTTCCAAGTTCAGACTGCCCAGGTCTTGGAGAAGGAGCTGTTCAGGCAGGAGGAAGCTCCAGGTCCTGTTAGCCATGGCCTGGGGCTTTGCTGTGTCATCCTGAATAAGTACTTGGCTTAGTTGAGCCGGTATTCTGTGAGCAGCCTTTATGCTCCTGTTCTGACAGCTCACCCATCAACTCCAGTCCGCACCCAGTCTCTGCAGGTGGTCGGATGTGGCCAGGGCTCTCTGGCTTCAGCTGCACTCAGGAATCAATGGGGCATCTTTGGGGATGCTACATCTGTGACTGAAACGTTTTCTCCGCGGCCAGGGCGAGCCTGGCACTGTTCTAAGACCTGGCTTCTGAAAACAGGGAGCTTGAATTGAAGGGGGGAAGTGCCAAGAAACTAAACAAAACCACTAACGGGATCTCCGTTGCCTGCTCCACCCGCGGGATAGTTTGCAGCAATTGCCATTCCCAGAAGCTGAAGTTCCGGGTAGGCCTGTTTTGGAAGAAGTTTAGGCTTTGGTCTTCAAACGTTTGGAGGCAGGAGAATAAAGAGTTATCCTGCTGGGATAATTCCCCTGACTCTCGCGAGGAGTCCTGGGCAAAAGCGAGCAGAGGTGATTGCACACCCGTAAAAGCAAGCCGCCAAACCCTATTGGGGTGTTTCCTCGAACACCCCAAGCCACCCGATTCCCTCTACCCTGCTACCCTGCGCCCACAGCACAGGATTTGCTAGGTGTGAGTATTCCCAGCCGATCAAAAGAAGAAGAAAATGCGGAGATACTTGGGGCTGGGGTTTGGTTCAAGCAGAGAGGTTCCCGCACCAGTCCCGCGCTTTGGGAACTACGTGTGCAAAGGACCTGCAGGTTAGGGCCTTGAAAAGCAGGGCCAGCTGTCTAGGCTAAAAACCCTTTGTCAGAAAAACAACAACAGAAACGGTAAAGAGGGGGTGCTAAACAGATCAGTGGGAGGACACTTGCAGGCAGAGCAACAGAAACTAAAGCCAGCGTGAAGGTCCATTTTTAACTCCGCCAGAGCAGCTGCACCGCCTCAAGGTCAGGCAGGCTGAGGAGAGAGATGCTGATAGGCTGGGGAAAGCAGATTCCCACTTCTATTTTAATAACAAAAGTGGAAAACAAGCAGGCCCATTTAAGCCCAGTAGAAAGGGTTCCTGGGGTTAGAGCCTGAAGGTCCAGTGGATGACCCCCACCCCCAGGTGTCCTGCCAATCAGACACTCTGGCCTTCACCAGCCTTAGAGCCTCTTGTTCTTATCTCATCAGCCTTGGTAGTAACAGAAGCTTGTTGCCTGCTTCAGGGAAAGTTGTTGGTATTATAATGGTAAGTGACCAGAATGGACACGGTTGAAATAGAGGCAATGCGCATGTCCACTCCTTGGGGAATTTAGACACAATTCCTAAGTATTTCTACGGGACCAAAATTATGGAAACTCATAGGATGTAGTATTGACTCTGGGCTCACCTACCTACAGTTAATTTTACATCACCCTTTGGGATTTTGCTGCAGAAAATAATTCACTGACACGCAAAAGATTTCAAATAATAGCATTCTTATTGACCGAATGAATAACACTCCCAGGAATGACAGGGCAGAGGAATCGCTAGTGTAGAGCACAAACCTGCAGTATATGGCAGCCAGGGTCTTTCTTAAGTCCACCTAAGATGTTTTAAAACCGTTTTCTGTCACCAACATCCACCCTTGCAACTACAGGGATGACTTAAGGCAACGAAGCGTTTTAAGGATTTAAACAGAATCAAGGGAAACCGAGACAGCCGTGGTTTTGGTCATCAATGATACACTGAAGTTTTTGAAAATGTTGTGAATATAGTTGATGAGCCACAGCAAGCTCATCATACTGACACGTCTCAGATGGTTATCAAAATGCAGTATGTTTTACTACGTCTCTAAGTCAGTGAAAATGCTTGCGAGGGCACTTGAAATAAGGGCTGGGTAGGAGCAGAACTCATTGGTTGAATGATTCGCATGCCTCTCACACCTCAATATACGACAACAAACTCTCAAAATCCTAAGTAAGACCTTTCATCTTAAGTGAGCATACAGTTTTTATTCCTATGGTTTACTCATCTGGCATTCAAGAAGAAAAGAAAAAGCAGTATTAAATGGCCACCATAGCTGGTATGTAAGCGAACATTGAAGTTCTGGGCTCCCTCGTGTAAATACAGCGTTCATAGCGCCACTACTTACACAAAGTATACCTATGCAAAGATACTTTACTATCTGATTGGGGAAATGCTGGCATCTGGTGCCTCCTACCTTGGAATGCTTATTGCATTTCCCCAGCCAGTTTCCTTGTTTTAGTCAGTATACGCTGTTGCTCCTGAACCTTTGTTGAGACGTTCAGTGTGTAGCTTCATTCATTTCATGAGCTGTAACACCTGAGGAAAGTACCTGGGTCCCCTAATTCGTTCTGTGGATTTCTGAGCATCCTTATGGGGCCGCTTGTCAGGATGGAAAGACAAACTCCCTTTACGGATGCTACGATTGCATCTTCTTTAAAGCGATGGAGAGTTTTAAAGGTCCACGCCTCTGATTTCCTGTGACTGCACTCAATTGGTAAATGAAACGCTGAGCGGCCCTAGTATTTTAGTTGCGGAGACCAAATCCCTGACCAGAGACAACCTAGGGGAGGAAGGGCCTGTTTTGGCTCACAGTCTGAAAGAAGACAGTCCATGATGGTAGGGAAGGCAGGGAGGAGGAACAGGAGGCAGCTGTCCTCAGGAAATAGTTAGCAGACAGGAAGTGGGGCTGCTATCAACCCCCAAGGCCCACCTCCAGTGGTCCTCTTCCTGCAGCTAGGTGCAACCTCCCTCCTAAGATTCCACAGTCTTCCAAATCAGCACTATTAGCTGGTGACCAAGTGTCTGTGGAGTGTCTCAGGGGTTCAGTGAGGGAAGGTGCCCCTATTGTTCTGAAACTCTGGCTCTATGGTTCAGTTTAAGTGTTGCTCACATAGAAGAAAATTTATGGTCTGCATGGTTTGTAAGATGTCTGTAAAATATTTGCCATTGGATAAGTAATTAAAAAAAAAATCCACCAAGGTGTAGGTAGCCAGGTAAGGAGACCTGATGTTATATAAGAAAATGATATGAGTCCTGTGCTGGCAAGATGACTCGGAAGGTAAAGACCCTTGCTGCCAAGTAAGAAGACCTGAGTTCGATCCCGAGGACATGCATGGTAGAAAGAGACAACATCCTCACACGAGCTGTCCTCTGATGTCCATTTGTGCATCATGGCATGCACGCGCATTGTGCATGTGCGCACACACACACAGAGTAAATTAGTATGATAAAAAATTAAAACTTTCCATTGTGATAGACAATATTAATTTTGATCATTCAAGAAGCAGTTTTGTAGAAATAAATGAAATATATAGACAGCTACAACTATTGACTGTAGAATCCCCTAATTTTTTTTATGTTTTTTCCTCTGATGATATCATTCATTTTTACTTGCCTATGAAAAGCTCCAACCAGTAAGATTTTTATTAAATGATTAATCATGCAACATGAGTTATTGTATATTATGATATAGGATTTGCATTAGGTAAGTTAACATCAAGCCTTGCCTGGCACGAAGTAAAACGAACCCCAATATAAAATGATACAGAGTACCTGCATTAAAAGCCGTGTCTTCCATTAGCAGAAGGCACTACAACTCTGAATTTAATCAGAAAAACTGTTACCATAGTGACTTTATGCTCAAAATAGTTGTAAGGCTTTATTATGGTCATAAACAATGACACATATTATCTCTAAATAAAAAAAAATGCGATGTGTCTAAATGCGGACAAGATCTGTATTCCCTTCTTGTTGATGTGGAAAGGTTTACAGTTTAGGTGACTACTGTCAGTCAGTGTCAACCAGGAAGATGGAGTAGGTCACTGACATTTCTCTAGTGTTATATTGTAAAAATTTTCGAACTCTCCAACTTGAGAGCACCACCACGACACACCACTTTCTCTGGAATTCTCGATAGGCACCCAGAATCTACACACTCATGTAGACATTTACCTTCAACGCTACCCCTCCATGGACCAGTCAAGTGTCCTAATCGTGAGTGTTTTCTAGTGAGTAAGTCTTAGGTATCTGGCATTCATATTGTCTGCCTCCAAAACCACACACTATCTCATGACAAAAATCTATGGGGTTTCTGAAAAAGAGGATTGAACCTAAGAACTGAATTGAAATGTCGGGTAGATAGAGGATTCTGTCGGGTGGTCCAAGAACCATTCTGTAGATGTAAAGCCCAGTGAGGTAAGCGGTGAAATGATTCCACGATGCTGAGCTCAGGGTGTAGGAGCTGGGTGTGCATGGACCTAGGCCCACCTGCCTGGGTTTGCATCCCAGCAAAGGTATTGGATAGCTTGGTCAATTTGAATAAGGAACTGGACATTTCTATGTTTTACTTTTTAAGATAGAAATGAAAATAATGCCTTCCATCATAGGGTTGTTGTGAGGATTCAGGGAATGAGAGTATAAGGAACTATAAAATTAAGCCATGATTATAGTGACAAAATTTACTGTACTTATGAAAAAAACCCACTCCAGTGTTTTGGTGACATTTTTGTGATAGCATTGCTGGGAGAATGTTTATATGAGCTCAAGAGTGCATATAAAATTTTTATCATTTGTACATAAGAATTCATTTGATGATCAATATTTAATAAGAATTGAGT